GAGAAACTTTGGTGAGGAACGATGGATCACGAACCAGAGGAAACTTCCATGCGCTGGCGAATGCAAAGATGGGCGAAATCACAGGAGTGTGGGCCTGAGGTGGATGACAAATGACCTCTGAGGCGCCGCATTAACGCTATGGGATGGCTTTTGGCATGTCAACAGGCATTTCATTGTTAAACCCTGCCGTATTTTCTATGCCAAAGAAATATAATAATGGTTTAAGTAGATATGCTGATGGCGTTGATATCCTGTTCTCAACAAACAATTTCCACATGGATAATTTCGAGCTGCTATTATACCTTCCACGCTTAATTCTGCCCCAGCGATTACAAAGAATCGAATCTCTAGAAGTTTCCTGGAGCTTTAGACCTACAGCAACAAGGGACAAACCATTTGACATTCTTTGGAATGACCCTACGATGAAAGACTCGGTACTACATGAGCTGTGTGTAATGGTGGGTGCACCAGATGTGAGAATCTAGCCACCCAAGGAAGGGATGATTTTACTAAGACAACACACTGTCTTATGAAACAGAGCCAAAGGGTTGTAGCTTAGACTATTCCACAACGCAGCAATCAGGTGTGTGATGTAGTGAAGTGGTTCAGACAAGTTGCAACAAATGTTGAGTCTGGGAACTCAGGGGTAAGTCAGAGGTTAACACCTCACTGACTTTCAGAAACAAGGAGTAACAAGATGAATGCTTGGAAGCTTGGAAAAGACGTGGAAGTATGTGATAGTCGATTTACTGTATTGCCTGCTTGCCCTTTCTTAAGGAAAGGGCAATCCTATTTATGCCAAAGGAGTGTAGTTCTCTCATTTTCCATGACTTTCCATGACTAACCAGGCTTGGTAAATGTATTAGAAATCAAGTGCGACCCACAACTAGCTTGCTAATCATTAGTGAACGTAAGAGAATCCCATAGAACCATCTCTTGGGTTCCTAGCCTATAGGAAGTGAAAAGGAGGTCCAAGGTCAGAGTACCTATAGATAAATTATGTCATAACTTAACCAATCTTGTGGGTAACTAAGGAGCGATGACGTGTAATGAATCATAGAGGGTTGTAGAAGCTTCTAGAGCTATCGTTCATGTTCCTAGGCCTCTAGTTGGTAGAGATATGCCATGTGGTAGTATTGGCCCACCCCCTTAAGGAGGAGATTTTCTTAATAACTTGTTCAATGAGTGTCCAAATGATATGCTGTGATGTATGTAGCATAAACAGATGTAGTAGAAGAGTTTGCAGCAATCGTTGAGTAGTATTGCTTCTGTTGTTGGTGTGATAAGCCAAGATATGACTTTTGAGGAGGAGATTTCTAAGTTTGCTCTTGAGTTTGATAGCAAACTGAGTGCAACGAATGTCAGTATGACACTGTGCCGGATGGTCCCAGAATTATTTCCTCACGTTCGGCAACTCGACATAAACATCCTCGGCGAATTAAGACTAAGGCCGGATACCCACAGCACAGTTATCGCCTTAGGCGGGATAGAAACTGTCTTTCTGGGCCCTATTGAAGACATGGTACCAGCTCTAGGACCTGGACGGGAAGTGTGTATCGCTATCCAGCAGATGGTTTTTCACACCTTGTTTATGAAGAAGCTGGAGTTATACGGCCAGGACCTCAAGCAGGATATTTATAACCCGTATAACATTCGCTTTTGGAAGGAGCTTGATCCTGATAATGGGTTGTGGGGTACTGGATTTGTGATGGAGCTCCGGATCAATGTCTAGGGAACATTTACTCAATAATTACTGAACTGAATAAATAGGGTAACATACATGTATAGCGAATGTGCAAAAAGAGAATGTGCAAAAAATATCGCGACCGCCCTACCCCCCAACTAAACACAACAATACTACCACAACACATAAAAATGACGAGAGAGAGTTGACCTTAGCTATCCAAGCTATCCAAAGAGACCCTACATTACGTCTTTACACTATAGCTAAGACCTATTCTGTAGACCACCACAAACTAGCTCGCTAGCTACGCGGTATGCAGCCGCAACGTGATATTATAGCCAATTCAAGGAAATTGACTAATCTAGAGGAATTAGTCATTGTTAAACACACACTCGACCTAGTGTAATGGGTGCCGCACGTACAGTACATGTGGTATATAAAGCGTATTACGCGTATTCCGGGTGAGCCGGAATACTGTAGTCTTTTTGGCTCAGTGGGATGTAGCGCGAGCGTAACCGTACATCATTACACCTAGCTACTAAATACAGATGTCTGTTGTTAAAGATAAGGCAAATCGACTACTTATAAACACGTGACACACTACATGTTAGGTCACATTAGGCTTCAAACTTTGTTAAGCATCATATAAAGCTCTAGACACGCTTCTAGCACAAATGCGACTACTAGAGGGCTAAGTGTGAGTACCTAGTGGTCATCTGTGGTTACTTTAAGCTTGTACGTAACACAATTGCAAAATATGGCATCTATGATGGAGATATCTACAACTTTGATAAGACTGGGTTTATGATAGGTGTTATCTTAACTACTATAGTTGTAACAAGCCTAGACAGGCGGGCAAAAGCAACGAAGGTATAGCCTAGCAATTAGGTGTCACGGTTTACCAAGGAATAGGGCGCCAGTTGGGTATTATGAATTAAACTCAATCTAGAGAAGAAAGGAAAGAGAAGAGGAGCACTCGAGCAGTGGCTCGATCTATATACAGCTATGTTGTTGTGGAGTGAATTCTCTTTAGGCGAGAAGTTCTGAGAATTCACTCCACAACCTCACGGATTTGCATCCGTGCTGAGCCCTAGCGTTTATAGATCCTGTAGATTACAGAGACTGAACATTGAGTATAAGCAGTTCGACTTCAACCTTGATTCCTGGGGTCCACATAAGACCCGACAAATAATACGTTAAGCCCCCCCCCATTTTATAATATCTTACTAACTATCTACAAGTTATCTGCGACGAGATTCGCTGACTCCTTCCTCTCTTCTGCTTCGAGGAAGTCGAATGGCGGCATGGAGTTCGCCCCTCCCCTGAGACAGCCCTCTGCATTGTACTTGCAAGGCTTGCATTATCGTGGCTGGTGATTACTTGCGTTGAGCTTTTCGGACGCTCCGAAAGCTGGCTGTCTACAGTCTTCAATGACCTTCTTGTACCGCCTGTTTGAAGACTGCCTTGCATGGCACCCCTTGCTGACTTATAGTCGGCTTCAGGGGTTTGCCACTGCTATTGAGGCACAAGGAGGAGGGAAAAAGATCTGGGTTCGTGGATGGCACCTTTCATGGGTTTTGCCATCCGCAAGACTACGTACGGCAGCGTGCTGTATACTCTGGCCATGCTCGACAGCATGGCCAGAAGTGGCAAGCTATTGTGGACCAGACGGCATTGTCTGTCTCTTATGGGTCCATGATTGGACCCGTAAACGACTGGAGGATGTGGAAGGTCTCTGGAATAGAGAGACAACTCCGCACTGTTATGGAGGGTCAGCATACACTTCTTTGTCATACTGACATTCGTTGCACTCAGTTTGCTATCAAACTCAAGAGCAAACTTAGAAATCTCCTCCTCAAACCTACAAGTCACTATACATATTTTGGCTTGTCACACCAACAACAAGAGCAATACTACTCAACGATTGCTACAACCCTCTATGATTCATTACACGTCATTGTTCCTTAGTTACTGGGCCAATATGACCACATAGCATATCTCTACAACCCTCTATGATTCATTACATGACATCACTCCTTAGTTACTGGGCTAATACTACACATGACATATCTCTATCAACTAGAGGCCTAGGAACATGAAATATAGCTCCAAAAGCTTCTACAACCCTCTATGATTCATTACACGTCATCGCTCCTTAGTTACCCACAAGATTGGTTAAGTTATGACATAATTTGTCTATAGGGGTACTCTGACCTTGGACCTCCTTTCACTTCCTATAGGCTAGGAACCTAGGAGATGGTTCTATGGGATTCTCTTATGTCGACTACAGTTACCAAGCCTGGTTAGTCATGGAAAGTCTTGGAAAATGAGAGAACTACACTCCTTTAGCATAAATAGGATTGCCCTTTCCTTAAGAAAGGGCAAGCAGACAATACAGTAAATGGACTATCACATACTTCCACGTCTTTTCCAAGCTTCCAAGCATTGATCTTGTTACTCCTTGTTTCTGAAAAGTCAGTGAGGTGCTAACCTCTGACTTATCCCTGAGTTCTCAGACTCAACATTTGTTATAACTTGTCTAAACCACTCCACTATATCATACACCTGATTGCTGCGTTGTGGAATAGTCTAAGCTACAACCCTTTGGCTCTGTTTCCTAAGACAGTGTGTTGTCTTAGTAAAATCCTCCCTTCCTTGGGTGGCTAGATTCTCACATCTGGTGCACCCACCATTACACGTTGGTGAACAGTGACATAAAACTCAACCTCTCTTATACCTCTTTTCCTGCTCTTCGAGCTGAACCCTCTTCTGAAATCGAAATCGAAATCGAAATGCATTCTTTGGAAACCCCAGAACCAGAAACCTTATCCTGAAGTCAATTCCAGGACGATCTTGAGGCAACCCCTCAAAGTTGGCTCTCGACAGTCAGCTCGACACACACACACCACCTTCGCAAGTCAGACCTTTTACAATGCTCCCTCAACAAGGATATAACTGTGAGGGAAGTGCGCTCCTCTCGTGTAAGGACACAGGGAATACGGCTCTCCGTAGGTGCATATGGGAGTGCGAGTCGGAGGTGATGCTGTATTCTATCCTATAGGTCTACTACGAAGGATACAAAAAAGATGAAAGGGGAGCTTATAGCTTCCTACCCCTTATGTACCTAAATGGGGTCCGACTCGGCTAGGCCTTAGCGTACCGGTAGATCCACTCCCGTCTGCCGCCCGAATCGACCCCGACCCTAGAACATCTATGCTGCTATACTACTATGTCGCCTATTCCGCGTTGTCTTACGGGTCCGAGGGTACCCCGTGTAAGGAGGCATCCTTACATTACCCCCCCCCTTGAGAGAGTGCTTTGTCCTCAAAGCGCGTGGCTCCGTGTGCCGACCGAATGGTAGCCGAGTGTCGGTATGGTCTAGGTAGTCTTTGTTCGAAGATCGTGGTGCTGAATGCGTCCGTGGGATGGATCGCGGAGCGTGCTTTGTTCCTAATAAAAGCGGATTGTTGAGGTCCGAGTTGGCACCGTATAGTATCCAGTTGTGGTGTTGCGCGTCGCGAGTTTCTTAGTTACTGTGCGCGCGCTACTACTCCTCAGAAAATTCATTGTTCTAAGCGGTTGTTATGGAGCAACCGATTCCACCCAGGATTCGAAGGCTTCTTTTTACAACAACACCGCCTACGAACCCACCTCCCGAATCCAGTAAGTAGCCCCTCTTGTTCGTATACTGTATACTAATCTGATTGTTTCATAGGAAACAAAACAAACCAGACGACCGAGTAGGTGATGATTGCGCGCCGACGCGTAGGTGATAACTTCTGGGCTTGGGGCTGACGGTTTTGTAGGAAACCTTTTCGCGAAGATGCCCGTCCTGCTGCCCCCCGGGGCCCTCCCGGCTGCGTACCGCGTCCTCTGTATGAGATGCGTGCGCCGTATTGGGACACCCGACGATGCTCCCATGGAGCACGAGTGCGTTTGGAGCGAGAAAAGCTCCAAGTGCGCCTACTGCGTGAAGCAGAAGGCACCATGTGTGCCGGTGAGTTCTCGGGTGCTGTTCGGTCTGGTGGTTGGTTTCCTGTGCTGACTTTCTGGGGGATAGATTCTCTGGTTCCTCGAGGAGGAATATGCCGCCATCGTCGCCGCCGAAGCGGCCACCCCTCCCGTCCCGGCCACCACCCTCAAGACCTACAAGGAGGTCGCGCGCGTGGCCGACCTCTCCAGCGCCGCCATGCCGGCCCTGCGCTCCCCCTTTGAGGGGGCGCAGTACATTCAGGGGCTGGCCACCCTCGCTGCCATCAAGGTAAGTTTTCCCCTTTCTGTTGTTCTTGTTCTGGGTCTGACTCCTAGGTAGGACCTCGCCGCCGCGGTGGAGGGGTTGAAGGAGGATACGGGGAAGCTCCTCGCGGGGCAGGCCCGCGCCGTCTCCTTGCTGGGGACGGTGGATAAAACCACCGACAAGGTGGGGAAGGAGGTGAGCTTCGTGGCGACTGCGGTCGCGAAGGTGGAGAAGGCGGTGGGGAAGTTGGCCGGGGCTGTTGCGGTGGCTCCCCGCAATGGCGGGAAGAGGAAGAGGGGGGAGGAGGAGGAGGGGAATGGGGAGAACCCGATTGGGTGAACGGGCCCTGTGCTGGAGGGAACTCGGGCGTGGTCTTTCGCGTGGGGTCACTTCGACCCTTCGTCTCTCATGGTGGTAGCCGCTTGTTGCGACGCCGGTGAGACGTTTGGGAAGGGTGGCTTCCGCAAGGGCTACGGCTCTGAGGGTGCCCTGGCTTAGAGGGTGTTTAGTTTAGTGTCGTAGGTAGCAACGACGCTGTTTTCCTCTGCTTTGCCGTGCCTCTCGTGATCGTAGCTTGGTTTGCCTGTCTCCCATTCCGTGATCCAGCCGGGTAGGTCCTGCGGTGGTCCTGGCAGGTTTGGGTACTCCGCGTGGAACTCCCGGATTTTGTAGGGGGAGTTCTTAAAGTTTGAGGCGGGGTACCATTCCGGGTCCGGATCGTATCCGACCCAGGATACCTGGTATTGAAGTTGTTTTCGCCGGATCCTTACGGCGAGGATCTTTTCGACCTCCCACTCCTCTAGGCCGTCTA